TGTATATATATATATATATATATATAAATGTGTATATATGTATATATATATATGTATATATATATATATATAAATGTGTATATATGTGTGTATATATATATATATATATATATATATATATATATGTATATATATATATATATATATAATATGTATATATGCATATATATATGTGTGTGTATATATATATATATATATATATATATATATAATAGGAAAAAATTATATATATTTAAAAAGAAGATAAACTTGTTCTTATTTTTTAAAAGGAAAACTGGATTTTTATTTTAAAATATACATTATAATCTATTTCCACAATTCTGCTACATTAGGTTTCTAGTTTATATTTTCTGCTAAAGAGTAGACATTTCCACATATTATAAAAATTAATTTTTTGCATGGTAGTAATTGAATTATCTTTCTTGAAGTGGTGATAAGCATTTACATTGCATATAGTTCTCTTGTTAATATAACGTTTGTGAAATATCAGATGCAAATCATAAATTCATAATGCAGTTTTATGATGTACCACACGAAAGAATGAAATATTAACGAAAACTATATGACAATAAAGACATTTAATCACTACCACGCAAAAAATTCATTTTTATAATATGTAAATATCTACTCTTTGCTTGAAGAAAGTTGCAAACCCAAAATCTTGTGTAGCAGAATTCTGCAAAATAGAGTATATATATATATTTTAAAATAAAAAAATCCACATTTCAACCATCTTTCTTCAGTTTACCTTCTTTTTAAAATACCCCCCACACACACACACACACACACACACACATATATATATATATATATATATATATATATATAGTAACATGCTTAATGGTTACAATTTAGAAATATTAATATTTATTGACTTACAAAGAAGCTTGTTTAAATTACATGAAAGTTCATGAATATTCAAACTGATAGCAGTCAAAAAGTGAGTGCATTTTTGGGGTACACCTAGTGATTGTGTGTGTGTGTATATATATATATATATATATATATATATATATATATATATATATATATATATGTAAGGCCTTAAACACTGGGAAAAGGTTGCATGTCAAATGGATAAAAAAAAAGAAAAAAATCATTTTCCTAAAGGGCAGTTTTTATGTTTATTTTTACTTTAATTTTATACATGAAAAATGTTATTTTAACTCTCGATTATAAAAATTTAAAAACAAGGAAATAAAAAAAAAATGTTGGGTTCATTAATTTAAAAAATTTTTTAACATTATCATACCCTTGGAAGTAATGGAGTTGTACATTCTTTGCACCAGTTTGCTACCAATTTTTTTACCTCTTTTCTCTTTGAGGAATATGCATGCAAAACAGCCTTTCACTTGTTTTTTATTTGCAGGCAAATACTCCAGGAAAGGACATAACCTTATAAATACAAGTAAATAATAACTTCATGAATCCTATAATTACCAATTAGTCATTTAGACTTGAACCATAAGTGAATGATGCTCAAATCATTGGAAAGTATTTAAATTGTCAGTTGATGATATCTGCTGATCTTTGCAGGAACATCAATTGATGATTCTTGAGTTAAGACTTTTAGAAGAAAGTAGAACATCTTTTCTATTTATTCTTTATTTTCTATTGGTCTTTTTATTTTTTTCTGTAAGATTCCACAATGTTTTGTTTTTTCCCTTGTGTGTTCTAACCTTAGGTTCAATCTTAAAATCTTTTAAGAGGCACTTAGTTTAATTCTGAACTAGAGTTACTTGTATAATATTTAAAGCTTCACCCACATGTCACTTCTTTCTCTCCCCTCCCGTTTTGTGAGTCACTAGCAATAATTTGTTGCTAGCTTCAAAGGCTAATGGAATTGTAAAAAAAGTTTTTTTTGTTTTTTTTTTATTTACAGCCGTGTAAGGATTTAAAATTTGTTTTCAAGGAAACCTGTAATCTAATCAACTCTTGGCAGTTTTGAATTATCATCTACTGGTCTTACGAATCCTGAAGGGTGAACGCTGCTCAAGGGTGATTTTGAATTATACAAAACAAAGAAACATTCAATTTGTTAAAATATTTTCTATATCAATATATTTTTCCAAACCTTACTGACGTCTTAATTCTGGGTAAAGAATTGCATTCATAAATTTCGGAGATTTGTTGTCACCAAATGATCAGATTTTCTCTTAGTGTTGTAAGAAAGATTTTTTTTTTTTTTTATAAACTAATATCCTAATCCTTCCTTTGAAAATCAAGTTTTTGGAAAACTTGGACCTTTGGTGCCTGCAAAAAAATGGTTTTTCAAAAGGACCGGTTTTTCCTTTGACACCACTATTATTTTAAATATCTTCACTACCTTGGCAATGTATATTGTTTGAAAAAGTAATTATTAGAATTGTAATAAAATTTAAACATATGAAAGTGAATTTATATATTTTTTTTGTTGAGCATTTACAACAAAATATTAAAAAATTAAAATTCATCAGATTGTTTATTTGCAAGAATGGTTGGTGAAACATCGGCTAATTGCCGATTGATTCAGACTTTATAAAATGGTAAATAAGGATTTCCTTTATAAAGGGTATTTCATTAAGACAGATCAAAGTCAGCAGTAAATAAATCCGTGTTATTGGTAAAAATTTATTTATTTCTCTATTGGATCATATTATTTAAGTCATGGCAATTATGTGTGAAAAATAATATCGTCCAAATGTCAGCCAAATCTGAAAGAAAAAGAAAAAAAATCATTGAACACTTAATTCACATTTAAAATCAGTCCAATTTATTGGAACACCCTTTAGTTGGTTCACATATTTTAATAATTTGTTGTTTTAAATTTATGAATAAAAAATTGTTTTCATATTTATTTCTTTATAAATTGGTAAATGATAAATATTAGTTTCAATTGTATTAGTTTTTAGAACGTAAATATGAAATTATTCTTTTAAATAAACACTCTAATAAACAGATTAATAATTTTTGTTGTAAATTCTCAAGAGCAACAGAAAATGGATAAATTCACTTTCATCATGATTGTTTTATTACAATTCTAATTATCGCTTTTTAAAGCAATAAACTTTAACAAAGAGTGAAGGTAGGTAAAATAAAAGTGGTGTCATACTGTCCATTTGAAGCTTCATTTTTGCAGTAACAAAAATTTTTTGCCAATTCCCCCCCCCCCCTAAGTACTCACTGGATGAAATAAATGATGGAAGCACTGAATAAGTTTAGCAATTTGTTGGTCACTGAAATATTTAACCACGGTTCAGATAATGCCAGCCATGGATTTGAGGATTTTAATAGTATACAAATATCTGGCAACCACAAAAAGAACAAATAATGGTTAAACAACGTATTTGTGGAATCATTGAGCCTCATGAATTACAAATTGAAACAGCTATGGTCTATTTTGCTTTATTGTAAAAGCTAAAGAAGACTTGTACAGATTCTAACTGAAATGTTTTTAATTTTAGACAGTGATGTTCTTGAAGGTCATGAACTTCAAATGTGGCACCTCATGTTTAATGTACATTTCAGGATATAGTTTGACACCCAAATCGTTAAAAGAAACAGTTCTGATTTTTGGCTTTCTGGAATGGTTTTCAAACAAGTTCATCAATTCACAATTGAATTGGCTAGATGTAACTAAGTTTTTCGCTAACAGTTTCTTTGTTCACACTTCTCACTTGTGGAACTCTCTTCCGACTTCATGCTTTCCTGCCAACTTTGATCTTCAAAAGTTTAAATGCAATTGTTATCGACTGTTCTCCTGATTACTCTTCTTTTGTTCTTGTTCCTTAATATTTCTCTTTTTTTCTTGTTCTTTCACACTCAGTAACCCCTTGTCTTCCATAATAATAAAAAAAAAATAACAAGTAAATGCTGCAATAACTGAATTCCAATAGCATGTTAAAAAACAAATTTCCCAATATCAAAGACGTTTTTTCTCCACCTTAAAATAAAACCTTGCCACTTTACCCTGTTTTCTCTGTTTTCTAGTTCATTACTTTGACAACAAAATGATCAAATTTTACATTTAAATTGCTCATATGAAATACTGTATTTGTTAGAAAACATACTCAGCTTAAATACAGCTAGTCAGTTTCTGTCTATATTTCTGAGATGAGGTATTATGTACATTATTTACATTATTCAGACTGTTTTCCTCATATTTATCACAATGTTTCAGCCATTGTATGCTCCGGCCTTCTTCAGGTGTCTTTATCTAACGTCTCTGGATCACCACTTATGACTTTTGCTCGGTGTTGTAAGCAACGGACGATCCCTTTCTTTACGCTGTATTGATGGTGGGAGTTGAAATTGAGGTACTGTCTGGAGAATGTCGGTTTACGGTATACAGATGTCTTAAACCCATGCTCTGTTTGAGATATTAGAACATCCAGGAATGGGAGTGTGTTGTTACTCTCTTTCTCCATTGTGAACTGTATTGAAGGTCTTATTGAGTTCACATGGTCCAGTAGAACCTGAACATCTTCCTGGTGTGGTCAGAGTATGAAGAAGGCCGGAGCATACAACGGCCGAAACGTGATAAATATGGCGACAAAGATGAGGACAATAGTCCGAATAATGTAAATAATGTAGTTAGTTATGTGCCATATTTGATACACGCTTAGGCGATCATGTATCTTTCAATACAGATTTTTTCCTGCAGTAGGTTGCCATTTCTTTCTATGGTAGACCAGTTGCCATCCATGGCTATAGAACCCAGTCTGTCCTGCTATTTACCCATAGCTGAGAAGAGGATTAATACCTTTCCCAAGGGTATTAGCACGTAAATGAATGTAATGGATTTGAATGGAATTTGAACTCAGCTCTCCGATTCCTCAATCCAAGCAGCTATCCATTACTTCACCATAAATGGTCTCAAAGGACTGCAGCAGACCTTTCCTTTTACTTCTTGGCAGTTGCCACCAGACAGTGAAATTAATCCACTTGTCATTTCAATTTCATTCAAATTGTGTGCATCACATGTACGTTTTAATTTGAAGACAGACCTAAAATATTGCTTATGGCCACATGATGCTGAAACACTGGTCCTCGTACAATTGCTGAAGTTAAGCAACATTGAGCCTGGTTAGTACCTAGATGGGTAACCGTTTGGGAATACCGGGTGCTGTAAGCTTGGATGTGCAGGTGGTGTAATGGGAAATAGGTTGGAATTGTTAATCAGAGAGCTGAGTTCCAAATCCCAATGGGTTTGTTATATTCACTTACACATGGGAAAGTTATGAATCCACCAGCTATGAGTTCTATTCTAAATGTTACCTTTCTTGTACCTTGTGCCTGTGGGACTCTCTTTTTTTTTTTTCCTGTTTCTTGCTTCTCTGTCACCTACGATCTTTCAAGAAATTATAAATCGGAGAGGCGAGATCCAATTCCCATTGGGTTTGTTATATTAACTTATTCACAAATACCCTTGGGAAAGGTATGAATCCATCTCTTCCTCCAACTATGGGTTAATTAGTAAAACTTGTATCATTAAACCATTATTATCTCAAAATAAAATTCTTACAATGTAAAAATATTTTCTGACTTTAAATAACCTGCAAAGAGTTTATACGCTGTAGAAAACAAAACAAATCAGACAGACTCAAAATATATTTCTACAGATTAAAAAAAAAAAAAAAAAAAAATATTTTTTATGTTACCAAATAATTTTTAATAAGTACACTAAAATCTTATACGTTTTTAGGTTTAAAAAATACTTTTTTTTTTTTTTTTTTTTTTACCAATTTTATTTTATTTTGGTGCTCAACCTAGAGTAGGGGTTGTCCAGACTGAGTGGTTGCGTAATATACTATTGCAATGTTGTATTTCAAATGCCGTTAAATTATTTGTGTACACTTACATGTAAATAAATGGTACAAGTGCATGTAAGTCACTCATGCATGATAAACATATACATGATATATGTGCATGTAAAGATGCACACTGTATTATGGACAGAGAATCGTTCTTTTATTTTTTTTTTTTTTTTATAATTGTTACTTTAAAAAAAAATTGCAAGTCACAATTGGAGTCAGAGCTGTTGTAAATGTTGGAAGATGGCAGATTAATTTTTTGATTCTATGGTTATTCGCTTAAGTTTGACACAAGGCCATAATATAGGGCACCCTGTAAGAATCACACTCACTTCTAAATATTAATGATCTGAGAGATTATTAGCCATTATGTTGCAATGAGGCACACGTTCGTTGAATTTCTATGACTATATTTTTTTGATTCTTTTAAATCAATGCTAAGTTGTCTCCCTTGTATTTTTATGAATGACCGCCAACGTAGTTGAGATATAATAAAAAGTTTATGCTCTAATTTCAGGTTTGGTGGTGACACTACAACACCTTAAAATTTGCAGAATTTTCCAAAGCATGAATGGACAAAGTACAATAAGACCTGTGTATGAAAGACATGTTTGAAGTCTAGACAGCCTGCAATATTGTAATAAGATATATTCAACTTGCAATATGATAAGGTTAAGTTTTATTAAGAATATTGCAGAAATGCATGAATGAGAATAATAAGCATCAGTAAAAAAAAAAACATGGTTTAGATGCTGATATTGACAAGAAATGTATATTTTACAATCCATTTGCAAATTTTGTGATTCTTAGAATATGAAGATGGTGCTCAAAAATTGAGTTGCATTGTAAAGTGGTTGAATGTCCAGAAACTCTTGGAAAGTACAGAAATTTGAAAAAGTCATTATTTAAAAAAAAAAAACAAAGAACATTTATTTTAGATTATATTCTAAAAAGATTTTTGAGATTGTGAAATATTGTTTCAACTGAAGTGATTTTGGAATAGATTTTAATTCGTTTACATTTTATAAATACATGACTTTTCTGGTTGCTAACATTTTTCCTTTATTTTGTCTATTAAAATGTGTTGGTGTGGCTGGGTTGTTTGGCTTATATATTGCTTAAAATTTGCTATATTTATGGGGGAAGAGTGCTCAATATTGCAGGTAGAGCATTTATAGGTATAGACTGTGGACATAAGAATTAGCATTGCATAGTGACTGTCAGTTTCATAGCTAAAGATCATATTGAGAGATGAAACTGACACTCAACCACATAGGGTTGATTCTTATGTTTGAAAATATTAAAAAAACAGGAATTTGTAAGTTCTTAAATGACCCGTGTTCCTTGTGTCTATATGAAAAGATACATATAATTAAGTTTCCTAAAAATAATGATCTATTAAATCATCAAAATGAACTTACCATCGTATGTAGACATTGTAAAACATTCTCATTAAAATACAGTTAATGAATTTTTATAAAAAAATCTATGTATTACAATCATACATCCATTATTTTATTATATATATAATGGTACATGTAATATTGATTTGTTGCCTTGATTTTTTTAATTTTAAAATTGCCATGTATTTTATTGAATAAAATAAGAACTGTATTTAATGTTCAAAATTATACAAAAATTATTTAATCATACTGGAGGCTCCTTGTAAGATAGTTCTAAAGTATATGTAAAAAAGATTTTTAAAAAAAACAAAATTAACCTATTGTTAGAGATATACATATCTCTCAGAATATTTCTTTGTAACTTAAATGGATACTCTTAACCGGAAGACAGATCGCTGAGATATGTTTGAATTCCACACACTCCCCAAAACCTAACATATATTTTTAGCTTTTCTGATTTAGATTTGACTTTTCTTTTGATTGCTTAAATGAGACACACCCATAAGATTTTAAAATCTATTGATTTTCACCCATTTTCACCCCTCTGATGATAAAATTTTAACTCTTTTCCAATACCATTAAAACTATATTTTCTATATTAATATCCTTTAATAAGAAAACATATTGTAAAATTTCTATTTTATATATATATATACAGATGTAAATATATTTTAATAAAATATCAAAACATATACATATATAAATATATATATATATGATATACATATAAATATATATATATATACATAAACATAAATATATATACATATATATATATATACAGTGTAAAAATATATTTTAATAAACATATATATATATATAACATATATATATATATATATATATATATATATATATATATATATATATATATATATATATACATACATATATATATATATATACATATATATATATATATATATATATATATATATATATATATATATATATAAATATATATATATATATATATACATATATATATACATATATATATATATATATATATACATATATATATATATACATACATATATATATATATATATATACATATATATATACATACATATATATATATATATATATATATATATATATATATATATATATATATATATATATATACATACATATATATATATATATATATATATATATATATATATATATATATATATATATATATATATATATATATATATATATATATATATGGATTAAGTCCAACAATTTTTAATATATTTTTTGTTTATATGTTATCTTAATTAAACAGTATTACATTTACTGGCCTGAATGTTTGAGAAATTTCGTAGAAAATAAGTGTTTTCCAATGACTTTGCTAACCAGAGATTTGTCAAAAGCTGAGTGGTATAGCACGTCAGATCAAATGGCGGTTCCATATAGGACATAAGTTTGATTCCTGTTGGAGAAGGCATATTTTCTATGAAATTTCTCAAATATTCAGGCTGGTAAATGCAATTAATAATGTTTAATTAAAAATGGAGCATTTGCTTAAATAAATTGTATCTATTAAAATAACATATAAATAGAAAATATATGGTAAGAAGGATATATTTTCCTTAAAAGGGAAAAAATAGAGCCTGTGACACTCTTCATAGCCAAATGGTAAAGCACATCAGATCAAATGGTGGTATTTCCTACTAAGAGGGACACTGGTTTGATTCTTGCCAAGGAACACATTTTCTTTATTGAAATTTATCATGTGTGCAGGGTGATAAATGAAATACACTCTGATTAAAAGTAAAGACAAAAATAAGGTGTTTATTTGAACTTATATATATATAAAAACAGACAACTTTAAGGCTCCATTGGTTATACTTTATTTCCCCAAGGAACTTCTTTTTCCTTGGTTCATCAGACCACACTTCCAAGGGTGGAAAAAAATGTGTGTGTATATATGTATATATTAATTATATAACATTGGGCAGCAATCCCTCTTTTATGCAAGTTTTGTTAATGACATCAGGTACTGTGATTAAGCTTTTTGTCTAATTTTTCTTGTTTTCATATAAGTGATTTCTTTTCTGGACACAAAGTGTGTAGAAACTGTCCTAAAGTGCTGCATATCCAAATGCTTTAGGCCATTCTTTTGACATTATCAAGGACAATTCAGTTAAAAATTAAAATAGTCTTTGATAATGGCTAAAAGAATGGCGAAAAGCATTTGGATATGCAGCACTTTTAGGACAGTTTCACAAAAATCCAGAAAAGAAATCTTTTGGTAACAAAAAGAAAAATTAAATAAAAAGCTTAATTGTAAATTTTGTCAGTCATCTTTTAACAAGACTTATTTGTATAATATATATATATATATATATATATATATATATATATATATATATATATTGTATATGTTTGTATAATATATATATATATTGTGTGTGTATTTGTATATATATATATATATTGTGTGTGTTTGTATAATATATATATATATATTGTGTGTGTTTGTATAATATATATATATATATATGTGTGTGTTTGTATAATATATATATATATATATTGTGTGTTTTTATATAATATATATATATATATATATATATATATTATATTTTATGCGCACTCATTCAATCGATTACTGTCCTGAAATTCTTCACAGACACGTCTCCGTAACCTTTGATTTCTTATTTTGTTTCTAGTAATCTTTTCTAAATTTAGATATCAATTTTTTGAGTATTGAAAAGAAAGAAAGAAATTGATGTGGGTCAGAAATACCTTTATGCTGAACAACTGACCTTGTCTTTGAGTGATTAACATTATTCAGTTGTTCAAAGTCTCAAATCTCTTCTTTGTCTAGTTATTAGCTTAACGTTTCAGCTGATCTAGTCTTTTCATCAGGTGTGATAAAAAGGAAATGGTTCAATTCCTGGGAAAACCAGAAGGTGA